TGCTTAGGCCCGATCCCCTGGTGGACATCCCCCGAGGGGTCCCAGGCTGCAAGGGTACAGGCAGGGCTGAGGGACCCCCGAGTGCACAAATTTTTGTGCACTGGGCCTCTAGTTAAGCCATAAATATAGGTGTGAGAATAAATCATTTGTTGTGGCATTGAGTGTGGAGTGGGAAATGCTAAACATAGTACATTTGACTGACATGCAACATACTGTACAAAACTTGATTTAAATAAATCACAAATGCAACCACAATAATGATCATTGTGCTCCCCTTAAACTTTCCTTTCCTTTTTTATGCAAAAATGGTATCAGAAAAAAAATATCATAAGACCCTCATTTATTTAATGTCAGAAACTAGTGATTCAAAAACTAGAACCTCAATGTAGCTGTTATGTAAGTCATGCATTCTGAAAAAGGCAATAACTAATGAATGACATTGCAGAGCACATGGAGTGTACAGTATGCTTCTCCTTTAAGATACTCATGTGGGAAAAAAAATGGAAATTCAATTTTAACTACATTTTGAAGTTGTATGAAATCCTCACAACAAAAATAATGAAAGCTACTGTTTACTTACCACCTAGTATACCAGATAACAGGATGCAATGATAGATAATTGTAACACATGGTTCTTTTAAATTTAAATTATAATTTAGACCTATGAAATAGGCATTATTTTCTTCACAGAGTTTAAATTTTGTCCTAGGTCATTGACTTAGTACAGGTCAGAGCCCAGGTGCAAACAGATATATATACCAACTCCAAAAACCATCCTTTCCCACTGTGCCATAGTGAGAAGGAAATTGAATTTATTTAGACTTAGGTAACGTGGTGTCAAAACTAACCTCACATAACTTTTTAAAAGTAAATTGTGTCAATAGTTCATATTTAACTTTGGTTAAACCTGTACTGAGTATGTACAGCACACTTGTTTAACTAGAAGTCACTTTTTCAGCGATCTCTGAGGTTTTTATGAATTCATTCATCTACACATTTATTAATGAGAAGGTCATTATCCTGAGCATGTTTCACATACTGTTCCAGAAACTTGGGAGATAAAAATAAGAACCCATAATCCCAACTGTAGGGAATTCATCATCTAATTGGAAGAGAGACATGCAAACAAATAATAACACAAACTCAACAGTAATTAGAAAAATGCTAATTAAACAAAATTTATACCCATGAGATTGGCAAAAAATTATAATTTTGCATAATGCTAAGTGTCGGCAGGGATATGGGAAGCCCAAAGGTGGGATGGTGATATGTCTAATGAAGAGTTTTGTTGTAGATAGGTTAATTTTGAAATGTCCGTGTGAGATCCAAGTTGAGACACCAGTAGGAAATTAAATGTAACAAGATTGGAGCTAGAAGAGAGCTACCAATGGAAGTATAACTCTAGGAGTTTTCCATAGTTTTATCCATGGAAGCCAAAACAAAACAAAAACAGACAAACAAACAAACAAACAAAAAAACTAAACTAAAAAGTCTTTGAGCAGAGAAGTTTCACATTTTGGGCATGAGTTCCATGCTTGTAGTGAAGACTAGGTGAGTCATGTTTATCACCAGTTATTACTTTGCCAACCTAAAGAAGGGAATGTGGTTGACAAGGCCAAGTTCTGGGTCGGAATCTGCACATGAGAGATGGACCTTTCAGCTGACCCGCTCTCAGGCTGTCCCCAGACGGCAGCTTTTCCTTTCTTTGGATTATGAACTGCTATGAGAACTTCATGAAAGCCATAAATCCTTCCAAAAGAAAAGCAGAAACACATTTCAGAGTGTTATGTTATCTTTTGATGGACCCCAGCTTAAAAATACCTGGAGAAATTGATTATTTTTGACTCTTTTCTCTTTCATTTTTTTCCCTTTTCATCTAATCAGGCTGGTCCATAATCAATCAACTAGAG